TCACTGTCCGGGGTCGGGAGCTGGTAGTTGACGACGATGACATGGACGAGGTCATGGAGAAGAGGGGGGATGGGAAAGGGGGCTCGGAGCAGGACGGCGGCCAAGAGGAAGTGGGGGAGGAGGTGGAAGCACTGCCGCAGCGGGGGGAAAGGAGAAGAGGCGGCAGGAGGGCGGGGGGCCCAGCTGTTCGGGGTGTGGGGGCCGCGCAGGGTGACGAGAACGGCCTGTACGAGGATGAGCCGGGCTGTAGCTAGACAGACATACGGACAGACTAGTCGGAGCGCCCGTGCCCGCAGTCCCAGGTCGCCCTCGCGTGAGGCAAGGGCGCGCAGGGTAAAGAACGACGGCGTCGTGGCTGCTGCTGCTGCTGCTGCTGCGGCGGCGGCTTAATGTGGGTTTTCGGAAAGCTAGCGGGGTGTGTTTTTGCGAAGACAGGCAGTATAGGGCTATTGGGATCTGAATCCCTGCTGACGTACGGAAAATACGGCATATCTCTTGATGCTCGTGAAGTTGGTGGCGGTGACCGGATGACGGTGCTTCTGACGTACCTACCTACCGACCTACCTGGCTAGCTAGCGGACCGGAGAAGATCCGGCGGCTCTCCCGCGACCTCGTGCGCCCCGTGACGGAATGTGTGTGTTTTGAGGTGTCGCGAGATTTCCCCCTTTTCCCCCGTCGCGGGGAAAGGGGAGGGGGGTCTATCCCTGGTATCTGCTGCAATCGTCAGTGGTTGGTCGCAACCCCCAGTCCCGAGGAAGATCGCCCGTTGCTGTTGTGGGGGTGTGAGGGTGAATGTCCGTCTGCTCGGACAAGGGCGTTACATCGTCGCTTCCTTTCGAGTGACAAAGCTCGTTCCCGCACTCGTTCATTTATTCGATTACCTCAGCCTGCGTTTTAAAACTCGCCGCGCGACTCAATACCAACAATTCCCCCGGGGGTTTAGTGGCCACCAATGGAGCCGAGGGCACACGTATCAAAAGTGGAGTCAGTCATATTACGTTATAAGCAAGGGACTTGGGCCACACGGGTGGCGCCTCAACCAACAGTATGCCGCCATGAAATGGGGACGCCATGCGATAGTGCGAGGCACATACGCACACCTACCGTGCACGACCCCTAGGGAAAAGAAATCTTTAATTCCATGACATACACACATGTACGTACGTACGTACAAACAAACATACACACGCACACACGTGCGCGCGGTGTACAATGTCCCCCGGAAAGCCGCGGCCTATGCACACTCCATTGTCAACCCACGACCCTTCCTTATCATGTTTAATGGGCAATTTTTACCTCCTCAACAACATATATGCACACGCACACAAATACATATGCATGCAAGGTTACACAATAGCCTACAGCGCATCCTCCCCCCCCCCTCAACCAACACCTCGCCGCCTAACCCGATTTCCGCCGCCATACCTCCGCCCCCACCATACACGCCCGGACTTCGACACAGAAGACGGGCTAAGACGTCCGTCAGCCTCCTTTTTCTCGTCCTCGGGATGAATTCACATTCACGTTTTCTATCGGTCTTACCCGATCTACCACCCGCCCGGGGGGATACATCTGGTCCCTAGTTCAGCAACAACCTGCTTCCCGCTGTACGTGGCCGGCACGTGTACATACATACTGCCCCGGCACGCAAAACCGACTCGTCCACCATCAATCGCGCAGCTCCGACCGACCAACAGATCGATAGGTAAAAGGCAGCAAGTCCTTCATAATCTCGGTGAGAGAGAGATAGAGGGAGGGGGGCCTCTAAATTCCCGGGCAGGCTCTAAAAAGGGGCGCACAGCGCATATAGCGGCAGCAGGCGATGGGCCGACTTTAAAGATACACAATCCTCTGGAACCACTCCCCTCCTACTCCCCTTCCAACCCCCCTCACCACTCATCATCATCATCATCCTTTACGTCAATTCGTCGCTTGCCGCGAGGGCGATAGAGCGTATCCACAAGGTTTGAGAGCCGCATCAAAATGGCATCCTGGAGGTCCTTCTCCGTCTCCTCCGCCACCGTTACTTGGGCCTGGACCACCTCAAGCTCGTATCGGAGCTTCTTCGTCCTGGCGCACTCCTCCTTCAGCTGCCTTTCCAGATCGCGCATAACGCCCTCGTGACGCCTCGTCAGCTCGGACCACGGCTCCGCTTGCTGTTTGTGCCAAACCTCCATAAACAATACCTCGTGTTGATGCGAGGCAACTCTCGCCTCCAGCTGCTGGACTTGCAACGATCGCTGAGGAAGCAACTCAATCATGGTCTGTAGGTCGTCGATAAGCGTTTGTGCGAGGTTGGCGTCTCCACCCGCGTCTTCCTTCTTTTCATTCGAACCTCCTCCTGCTGCTCTCGGTGTTGCTGTTGCTGTCTCAGCAGGCGGCTTCGTGGCACCTTGGTTGGCACCGGCAGATCCGGTTTTAGCGGCCGTATTGCTCTGGACGGCAGTAGCAGTAGCAGTGGCAGCAACTGGGCCCTTCAGCGGAGGCGCATCAAGGCCCATAATCCCTTGACATCTCCTGCCGCATGAGCCCCAAAACATGCCCTTAATCCACTGCCAAGGGCGCCAGTGCGACTGCTGTTGCTGCTGCTGCTGCTGCTGCTGTTGCTGTTGCTTCTGCTCGGGCTGCTGTTGCTGCTGCCGTTTCTGCTCGGGCTGCTGCCGCTGCTGCCGCTTCTGATCGGGCTGCTGGTCGTTCGAGTTGTCGGGAGAAATCTCCCGGGCTCGCTTCTTGCCTTCAACCACGGGGGGCGTGGCGGCTGCTGGCGGCGATGACGGTGGTGTCTTGGACTGCTGATGCTGCGGTTGCGGTCGTTGTGGGAGAACAGTTGGGTGATAACGGTCCGTCGCGCCGCGGTTTGCGGACATCGTCACCGTCGTCGCTTTCCCTGGAGGGGACCCTGAGGACAGAAAGAGGGACAAGCAATTCGCACCGCAACGAGGCAAAGGTTGTGAGTGGTTTCGGGGTGTGCTGTTACTTGTGGTTAGTATGCCTGATTTTGGCCCTTAGGTGGTCGAGAGCGAGGGCGCTAGACGAGCACAGCGTGCCCATCGGTGCCAAGAAAAGGGCCCGGCCCATGTACTGCAACGGCCGCCCAGGTACACAGTGCCACAACAACAACAACAGGGCGCAGCAGGAGCCTCGCCACGCCCACGTAGAAATGTATTTGCATGTGTGAGTGTGTGTGTGTGTGTGTGTGTGCGTATATCGATAATATATCTATACATACATATATCTATATATACATATTTTATTATATTTATTATACTAGGGTTTGGCACCACTGGTAAGGCGCGACCATTGCCCCCGGGAGATCCCGGGATCGATACCCCTTAGGGTCAAAAGTCCTTCCGATGGTGGAAGGCATTGCGCCCCTAGTTGATGGACGGTGGTGACCTGGGATAAAGTTAACCTGCGAGCCGACCAGGAATGGAGTTGCGCCGCTGTCGACCCGGCAGATTCCGTTGGATGCTGGTGGTGGGTGCGGAACCTGAGCGATCCACTGAGAAGTTGACTAGGGTGACTGGATGAGGGTGCCCCGAAATACCGGGGAAGGCAGGGTTTCGCAGGGTAGCTGCCACGGGCGAAGATACACCCCCCTGTTTCACACATCATATGTAGATATAGATATTCATATATTATGTATCACAAAGCGCCTTATATGCCGTATGACCGCTTGATCGGGGCCCCCTGATATCTATTTATTTTCCCGTTATTACACCTTTCTTTGTTGTCTCTTGTGATGGGCGCAAATTCAGCGTGTCACGACCAGCGGGAGTCCGCGGCGGCCGTTGGGAAGACATAGAACTTTTCCCCGCCCGGTGACGTGAAGAGGCCGTAATGAGCAGAAATGAGCTCTGCCAGATGCAGAGAGGCGGAGGAGCACTGCATAGGCAGCAGGACCAGGGCCAAGGAAAGGACCAGAAATAGGGTCGTCAAGTTGTGAGAGGCAAGTGGACAATGTGGACATCAGGACATGCATTGTTTTTTATTCTTAGGGCCCTAACGCGCACGACATAACAGAAAGCGCTGGGAACCACGCATAAACCAGATGCGTTATGACATGCAAGCTGTTATATAATTAAAGCTGGGTTTCAACGGGTCCGGTTACTTGTTACTGCGCAAACAGGGCATTATTAATAAACTCGCGTCAGCCACGCTTACCTGCGAGCCTTTTGAACCCCGCAAATGCCCGGGACACAGAGTCGATGATGTTCTCGATGCCGTTTAGGAAAGTTTAGGAAAAGATTGGGAGCCAAGCGCTGATTGTTCGTTGCTGATGCGGTGAAGACTATGAGAAGGAGAATACTGCTGAAGGACAATACGTATATTTTCAATTAACGAAGGCCAATCTTAAAGCAAACAACAATAAATTGTTTTTCTATTTTGCAACAGTCGGTCATACCTGGGCCCTTCGCAGGTTTTCAGCAGCTGCAAATTTTTGATTGTAAAACCGGCTTTGATTTGGAAAACCGCTACAGATAATCGGGTCAACTTGAGGGCCGGAGAGGGAAGGATGGTGGGCCCGCCGCACTCCTCTCCGGAGCGACGAAAGTTTCTACGTAGGATAGGAGCTTCTATTTGGATAACCATACAGAGGCACAGCCAAAACTGTCTGTAGCTTGTGGTGACTTCAAAGTAATCCTGACGGCCTGCAGCCCGGAGGAAGGCTTGCAGTAAAACCGGTGTATGGTATCGGTATATCATTACGTGACAATCAGGAGATCGGAGATGACCCGAACAATACACAGAAGCTAGAGGAGAAGATCAACAAATTTTTAAAACAAGATTGGGTGTCGGCTTCAAGGAAGCCGGAAAAAGGGCGGGGCCCCTCAGCATCCGTACAGGCCGGTAGCAAGGGTGGCAAGTGTGACAATTGATGGGTAATGTCAACATGGTGGTTTGTGTCAGAAATGTATATATTTCGAGCGATTTCGGGACTAT